TGGTAAGGCCAGTTAATCCCTTAGGCATACCTTTTTTGCTGTGAAATGAGCTCCTTGATAAGAAACAGTGTGTGTGCAGAATGCATGATGGTGGCTAGTGCATTCTGTGTTTCTGATGGTGTGCTGGCAGAAGCATTATAAGCATATAATGCTTATATAAGAATATAAGAAGATAATCTATTTAAAAGAACCCACCAGAACCAGTCTGCCAGCAGATGCCTGGCTCGTTTCTCTACCCCGTGATTCCATATTGAGAATATAAAATTAAACACTGGTGTTGGCAGATTAGATATCTAACAGTAACTTTGGTCATATCAACTTTGGTAAAGACTAATTTATGTTTTCAAACCCATTCAAAGCCTCCATCCCTGCCCCCTTTGTTCATGGGTGTACTACACAGGCAATTGTATGATTGGTAAAGAAATTGAGTGACATCACAGAGTATGTTTTATCTACCTCGTAAGCGTATGCCTTTTATAGTTGTTGTGCTCCCTGTGTCTCTGATGGTTAGGTGCAACTACTTAAGCTTCTACAACTCCAGAATAAGATCATCCCATTAAAATCAGGAATCCTACCTCAATGATGCATCTGTATAGCAGTATAGCTATCCTACAGAAGGAAGTTACCTAAGAGCTTTGAGAAGGTTCTAAGTGGTCCTTCACAATACATTTTTATTTATTTATTATTTTTATTTTATGTGTATGAGTGTGTTGCCTGCAGGCATGCAAATGCACCCATGTTGTGCAGTGCCTGAAGAGGTCAGAAGAGGGTGTCGAATCCCCTGGTACTGGTGTTACAGGTGGTTGTTATCTGCCATGTGGGTGCTGGTAATTGAACTTGGATCCTCTGCAAGAAGAGCCAGTGCTCTTAACTGCTGAGCCATCTCTGCTGCCCCACAAATATATTTTTTAATGTTTTGGTAAAGGGAATGTCTCTAGGCCATCTCATGGAACAAAAGTGGAAGATTGGTATGTAGGTAACACAAAATAAATCTGATTCAATATATCTATAACTTTAAGGCTTTAGATCCCTTCTCCTTGCCATACTGGGAAAACTTTGGAATCTCATCTTTTCAAATATAGATCACTGTTGATCCAGGTTTCACTCAGCCAGGTAAGTTCTTAGAGCACCTCTAGTTGCCTGTAACATCGTACATGTAAAATTCTCAGTGTACATTAGGTAACCTTTTTCTATAAAGGATCAGATAATAAGTACTTTAGGTTTTGTAGGCTTATGGGGTTTGTCACACCTGCTTTATTGTAGCATAAAAGCAACCATAGATAATAAGTTCACGTGTTAATGAACATAACTGTTTCTGTGAAATTTCAGCTGTAAAAACAGTTGTTGACATTTGACTTAGTAAGTGTACATATATCAGTGAATTAGACTTGATGGAAGTATTACAGTCTACTCTTCATGTTCTAGCATCTTTAGAAATCCATGTGTTTGATAGGTCTTTGTTTATCAGCAAAGTCTTGTAGTCCTTTACAGTATCCTTTAGCTCGTAGTGAATATCTGTCTTTCTGGAGCCAGATAAGATTTGATGCTAATTAATAAGGTAGTGAATTTGGGAGTGGCTGTGGAAGGTCTTGAGGATAAGCATCCTCTTTCAAGGTAACTGCCATTGGTATGGTTGCTTTAGAATTTTTAAGCAGTGAAGAAATAGTTTTCTCAGACCAGGAAGGGGAAGCTACTTAAGGTAAGAAAGGTTAAGAAGGACCTGGGTGTTCAAGCTAACCAATTTTACCTGGATCCAAACATATGTTCCCACTCCAAATATAAGGATTCCATTACTTATTAATCTGTACCCTAGTGTTCACAGGAGAAACTTGGTGAGACATTGTATTTAACTATAATTTGAATTCAGTAACTCACAATTTCATGGTTGATTTTTAGCTAAATCAGCTTCATGGCCACAAAAATTTAAGAAATTATTTTAGAGTTCTTATGGAAACTCCCAGACTGTGACTTGAGCTAGTTAGAGCTGAGTTTGACATTTTTCTCTAAGTACTTCAGTGTATTGAAAAGAATCCACTCCTTATTACAGTCCTTGTTTTCATCAATTCTGTCTTTATGGTCTTCTGCAGCAGGTACTTGGTCTTCCAAGACCTGTCTCAGCACTTTGTTACAGTCAGTTACATGTGTTAGTTTAACTAGTTCTTATACTTGCTACTGAAGACCAGCATTTCATTTCCCACTGGCAAGCAGCTTAGCATTATATTCAGGCTCAAGGTATGATCAAACCAATCTTCAAAGCACCTTTTTTGTGGGTCTGTCTCCTGGAACACTCTCAGTACCAATTGTTTAACAATTTGGATTCATTCAGGGAACATAGCACATAGTAATTTAAAAAGCAAGGGCTGCTGAGGGGATAGCTCAGTCAGTAAAGTGCTTGCCATACAAGCCTGAGGACCTGAATTTGATTCCTAGCACATAGGTTAGTAAAAAAAAAAAAAAAAAAAAAGAAGGTGGTAGGGTGATGAATCCTGTAGTTTTAGTGCTGGGAATGCAGACAGAAACATCCATGGCCAGCAAGCCTAGCCAAGTTGCCAAGCTCCAGGTTTACTGAGATATCCTGTCTCAAAAAATAAGGTAGAGAGTGATTAAGGAAGATACCTTCCATTGACCTGTGGCCTTCACACTCATGTGTGAACAAACATGTAACATATAAAAAATAAAGGGTTAGTTTAACCAAGAATATTAAAGAAATACTAAAAGATATTCTAGGGTTGAGAGAGACCAATTTGGAAGAGGGGCCCTGTTCTCATAACTGGGGTTCAGACAGCATTTGTTGAACTGTAGTTGTAGCCTCGGTTTACTAATGGTAAAGTTTGCAGTTGCTGAGCCTATAAGCTAGCTCATAGCTGCTGAGAGGACAGGAAACAATTATCCCAGGTGTACCTTAGCCAAGGCTGATCAACTTCTGTGTATGGACACTGCATGAAGTTGGAATGTTGGGGGTGATGCCTGGGCTGAGGCTGCCAGATTGCTGAGGGGCTAGGTATATAGCTGGGGCAGGGCCCCACAGATACTCACTTTGTAGCAGGAGCCAGAAAAAAGTAAAACACTAGCAAGCAGACCTGGGAGGTATCCTTTAGCAATTCTCTTTAGCTTCCTTTACTGAAAAAGCATAATGCTACCCTCACTGTAAAGGAGAAATGTTAAACACACCTGTGCATTCAGCAGGACGCTGCTGAAGGAGGAATTCTGAGAGACAGTTCATAGCTAATTGGAGCAGTCAGTCAGATCAGATTACTCTATTTCAGATGCCCCAGTAGATCCCCTTTTCACTAAAAGACCCAAAACAGGCTCTCTATTTTTAATTTTAAAAAAATTAAAAAAAAATAATGTGTGTGAGTGTTTTGCCTTCCATGTATGTAAGTGCACCTCTGTCATGTGGTGTCTGTGGAGGCCAGAAAAGGGCATCAGATCCTCTGGAACTGGAGATTTGGACAGGTGTTAGCCACCATGTGGATGTTTGGAACTGAACATGGGTCCTCTGCAAGAGCAGCCAGTCCTCTTAAGCGCTGAGTCATCTCTCCAGCCCCAAAACTCTCTATTTTTCTTCATACTGCTTTCTTTTTTTGACTCTGCTACAGTCATCCAGGTCTCCTTTGCTGTTTCTGGAGCATATCTGCACACTGATTTAGTGCCCTTGTACTAGCTTTTTTTCTTGGAAAGATCTTTTTCTAGATGTCTGTATGGTGAGTTCCTTACTTCCTCCAAATTTTGCTCAGATGTCAGCTTTTTTTAACAGTATTTTAAAAATATTTTATTTATTTTTATTTTATGTGTATATTGCCTGCTTGTAGGTAAGTGCACTTCTGTCATGCAGTGCCTGCGGAGGACAGAAGAGGCTGTCGGATCCCCTGGAATTGGAGTTACAGACAGTTGTTTAGCTGCCATGTGGGTACTGGTATTTGAACCCCAGTCTTCTGCAAGAACAGCCAGTGTTCTTAACCACTGAGCCATCTCTCCAGCCCCAGATGTCAGCTTTTTAAGGAGCACGTAGGTAAGTGCACTTCTGTCATGCAGTGCCTGCGGAGGACAGAAGAGGCTGTCGGATCCCCTGGAATTGGAGTTACAGACAGTTGTTTAGCTGCCATGTGGGTACTGGTATTTGAACCCCAGTCTTCTGCAAGAACAGCCAGTGTTCTTAACCGCTGAGCCATCTCTCCAGCCCCAGATGTCAGCTTTTTAAGGAGCATGGCTCTTGGACCTTTGTTTACTACCTCAAGCTGCCTCCCATTTCTGACCATCTCGTATCACGTGACTTTTTCCACAGTAAATTTTATCTGAACAATGGTTGACACATTGTAGGTGCTTACTAAGTACCTGAATATTATAGCAGACTATGTAATTCATTAAGATGAGAGTCTAGCTTAACAAAACAGTTCTTTTTACATGTGTGTGGTGTGCTTGTATGTATGTTCAAATGTGTGGGTTTGTGCATTTGTGTGCATATGCATGTGGAGTTCAGAGGTTAATATTGGATGCCTTCCTAGACATTTTATTTACTGTGGCAGGGTCTCTCGCTGAACCCAGAGTTGCCAATTTGGCTTGTCTAGCTAATCAGCTTGCCCAGGGGATCCCCTGCCTCTGCCTTAGGCTGCCAGGCACCCATGGCATGTATATGGGTGCTGGGGATCTGAACTCCTGTCCTCATACTTGCACTGCAAGTGCCTTAGTGACTGAGCCACCTTCCCAACTTCAACAAAGCAGTTGTAATTTTATTGTTCAAAATAACTTCACAAATACTGTTAGTCAGTTTTATAGACTGTTTTGCTTTTAGCAGTCAACTTGAATATAAATATATTTTTTAACTTAGGATCTGTAAAATAAAGCACTGTATATTACTCTGTAGGTCAATTTCAGCTTCTGTCACTTTTCTCATCTTAGTAGATGACTGAGCCAGATAATTCCATCTTTTTTTTTTTTTAAACTATTTGCTAGAGTTAATGTTGGTTCATTGAAAGCTAACTGATTATTTTATCTTTTAGGTGCTGAATGTGGAATAAATGCAGATGTTGAGAAACATCTCGAGTTGGGAAAGAAATTGCTTGCAGCTGGACAGCTAGCTGATGCTTTGTCTCAGTTTCATGCTGCAGTAGGTTTGTATCATAAACCTGATCACTCAGTGGCTATCTTAGCAAATTCTAATCATTTCCTTTTTGGATAACACTTCAAGCATTATTTTGTGTCAAATTATGAAAAATATTTTCAGGATTCTGGATGAGCTAGATTAATATACATAGTAATAGTTGAATACATATGTATCTAAAATAAGAGGTAACTGAGGAGGCTGGAGAAATGGCTCAGTCAGTGGTCAAGAGCATATACTGATCTTCCAGAGGATTGCCGTTCAGTTCCCAGTACCCACACTGGGTGGTTCACAACTGCCTGGAACTCCATCTCTAGGAATCTGACACTTCTGTCTGGCCTCTGCAGATACCTGTACTAACATGTTCATACCTGCATGCAGTCACATATGTAATTAAAAATAAATCTTTAAAACAAAGATAACTGAGGCTTAGTCTTGTATCGTGAATAACTCAAGCTGGGCATGGTGGCCCATACCTTTAATCCCAGCACTCAGGAGGCAGAAGCAGGGGGATTTCTGTGAGCTTGAGGTGAGCCTGGTTTACATAGAAAGTTCCAGGCCAGCCAAGGGCTACATAAAGAGACCCTGTCAAAAAAAAAAAAAAGATAAAGTGAAAAAGAATAGCTCAAGACTTTTGACATATAATAGAAATGCCTTTCTATTATAGTGGGCAGCAGTAACTGAGATTCATAACTGGTCAGTGTTGAATAAAGGACTGTTGAATGCTCAGCTGTAAATGGAACTTCTGTATCACCCCCTTCAGAACTCAGGGAACATTGTGGAAGATGGGTGGAAAGAATGTGTGAGCCCATAAAAGAAGGAGAGTATGGTAGTCTGCTGTTTTCAGAATATGGCATCACCCTTGTGTCCTTGGTCCTACAGTGGTTAGTTTACTGGCACAAGACCTGTGCAAGACTGGGCCTGTCAACATCTTGTCATGGGCAGGGGATGGGACAGGAATGGTGAAAGAAGCCCCACTCTCACCCCCATACTCAGATAATGTTGGGGGGAGGGAAGCTCATCAGTTCCCACCTTTCTCTGAGTAGTATCTATAGATACTTAATTTTCACTAGAGGAGGGAGAGACATTTTCTTCAGTGGTATTGCTACTGGTAAGGGGCCCATGCTCCTGTAAATAATCCTTCACCCCTCCCCCAGGACCCTGTAAGCAACCCTAAAAAGCTCATTGAGTCATTGAAAAAAAAAGACATGAAAGTAGAAAAGGGGGGACTGGAGAGATGGCTCAGTGTTAAGAGCACTGACTGCTCTTGCACAGGACCCGGGTTTGATTCCCATCGCCCACATGGCGGCTACAAATAGTCCTTAACTCCAGTTCCAGGGGAATCTGAAGCCCTCTTCTGACCTCTGTGTCATTGCATGACACAGGTGCACTCACATACATGCAGACAATACATTCATACACACAAAATAAAATGAATAAAGGATATTTTTTAAAAATTAAAAAAGTAGAAAAGGAACTAGGTGGGAAGATGAAGGGAATCAACAAGAGTGGGGGGGGAGTGTAGATGGTTGGGGAATGTGATAAAAATACATTACATGTGTATGAAAATGTCATAATGAAGTCCATTGTATATAATCAGCACCCAATAAAAATACAAAAAAAGATTTTGACAAAAAACCTTCTCAATAAGTAGTATTTTTGCCTACTTAGGTAAATTTCACTCATGCTGTTTTTGTTACTGTTTTTTTCCAAATGAGTTATCAGTGTAATAATTAATTACTTTGATGCTCTTGCAAGATTGCCTAGTTCATTGCCACATCAGGATTGGTTAGATTCCAACTGCTGCTTCTAGTGTTACTTCTTCATTCCTTATGTCTGTTTGCAGCACCAGCTATCATTGTAGTACTGAATGAACATAGAGAGGTGGCAAGAAAAATGGATTCTGAGGGCTTACACATTTTCTTGTTACTGCATGACTCTTATGGTAGGTCTTCTTGACAGCAGCTTTTCCCAGTCTTTTTTTAATTTACTACATCTCACCTTGATTTGTGATGATGAAAAGTGATTAGTCAACACCTGGCAAAAAGGCAGTTTAACAAAATACAGTTGTGTTCCTAAAAATCATCTATCGTTATAATTTGCTATAAAAACAAAAAAATGAAGGTAGGTCTTGGTTTGGCGATATTTTTCTTCATGCTTTTTCTTTTATTAAAAAATTTGTGTGTAAGTATGTGTGTGTGCACATGCCACAGCATATGTGTGGAGGTCAGAGGACAACCTGTGGGAGTTGTTTCTCTTCCCACCATGTGAGTCCTGGAGCTTGAACTCAGGTGATCAGGGTTGGCAGCAACTGCCTTTTGGAGACATGTGTCAGGCCCCAGTTCATAGTTTTTCCTAAACTGATTTTTATTGATGTCATTGCCTCTTTAGAATAATAGAAAATACACTTTTTAATTTTGCCTTTCTCTTGATAATACTGTGGCATTGGTCCAGTTATATAAGAAAATGTAGGGCTATATAAGTTACCTAAAGATTCTTAGCAGTTATCATTGTGCCACTCAAAAGATTTATTTTTTTCTCTGAGCATTAGGTGAGAAGAATTAACTATAAAGGTGTTTTTTATTTTTGTTGTTTTTTTTTTGTCTTTTTTGTCTTTTTGAGGCTGGGTAGCTCCCTGTAGCTCCAGCTGTCCTGGAACTCATTATGGACCAGGCTGAACTATAAAGGTGTTTTTTATTTTTGTTGTTTTTTTTTTGTCTTTTTTGTCTTTTTGAGGCTGGGTAGCTCCCTGTAGCTCCAGCTGTCCTGGAACTCATTATGTAGACCAGGCTGGCCTTGAACTCACAGAGATCCACCTGCCTCTGCCTCCCGAGTGCTGGGACTAAAGGTGTGCACTACCATGTCCGGCCTTTTTTTTTTTTTCAAGTAGACTCTGACCACACAGGTAAATAGGAATCTGTGGAGATTAAGCCTTTTCTAAAAATAAATTCACTGCATTCAGAGTTTTCTTAACTATACAGAACTCCTGTGAAGAAGCTTACATTTCAGGGATCACCATCTTGAGATTTGGTAGCTACTTGGCACCACAGTCTGAATAAGTTACTTTTACCTGAGGGCTGTTTATATATGCTATTTCATTACTAAATCTTTTTTTTTTCCTGGTGATTCAAGTTGTCTTCAGTGCTGCAGCAAGATATTTAAGTTTTTCAACCCTTTTTAAAAAAATTATTACTGTTGTGTGCATGTGTGCTCTGCATGCATGATGTTGGGGTGTGTGTGGTGTGCGCGCGTGCATGTGGAACTCAGAGGGCAACTGTGTGGAATCGGTTCTCTCCTACCACTTTTATGTGGGTTTTGGGGATTGAATTTAGGTTGCCAGATTTGCACAGCAAGGGCATTTAACTGCTGACCATCTCCCCAGCCCATTCAGCTATCTCTTTAAAAAACATGCCTTACAACATTCTACCTGCTACTACAAGAATATTTGCAGAAGCAGGATGTGGTGGTGCATACCTTTAATTCTGGTACTTGGGAGGCAGAGACGGGTGGGTCTCTGTGAGATCAAGACCAGTGTAGTCTACATAGTGAGTTCCAGGCCAGTTTGGAACTATAGGGAGACCCTATCTCCAAAAAAAAATACATATGTGTGTGTGTGTGTGTGTGTATATATATATATATATATTTGCAGAAATTTATATCCTATATATTATATACTTTTAATTTGCATTTTTAGTCTCATATTTATCGGGAACATAAAGGGCAGTGGCATATTATTTAATATGCATTTTTAGTCTCATATTTATCGGGAACATAAAGGGCAGTGGCATATTAATAGCTAAGGCAGTTAAAAATGCTCAGGGGCTGAAGAGATGGCTCAGCGGTTAAGAGCACTAACTGCTCTTTTGGGGACCCGGGTTTGATTCCCAGCACCCATATGGCAGCTAACGATGGTCCATAATTCCAGTTCCAGGGGATGCAGTGCTTTCTTCTGACCTCTGTGGGCACTGCACAACACAGACATACTTACATGAAGGCAATACACTCATGCACACACACATATATATACATATATATGTACATATTGACTGCTTTTAGTTTACCACTGTAATTCAAGACTTCGTAAGCTGACTCTTTCCCCAAATACTAGTGAAGTATTGTTCACTGAAAGATATAAACAGTGAAGCTGATTTCATGGTAATGTATTGGTGAAATTCAGTAAAGGACAAAGTCTAAATATTGCTAGTGAACTTAAAGTTTTGAGTAGTGGTGCCATTTTTTGATTATGATTTGATAAGTAGCAGTGATTCTCAAATGGAGTATTTATTTTCAATATAGATTGTTCATAATGAACTATAGGAAATAAAGTTTAAGTTGTGTATGAGAAGGATACTCAGTGGATGGTTAATGGAGTATTGTACTCTTTTGGATTTCTTCTGAGGTATTTATCAGAAAAGGATGGTGGACTCTTTTTAGTGGTCTGATTAGTAAACACCATTCTTTAATAAGGATATTAATAGCTTCAGGCAACCAAGAGTGAATTTTTTTACATTTGACTTCTAGACCAATAATCCATACACTTACTGTTGTACCGCATTTATTTATTTATTTATTTATTTATTTATTTATTTATTTATTTATTTGAGAGAGAGAGTTTTGCAATGCAGCCCATGCTGGCCTCAAACTCACTGTGTAGCTCAGGCTGACCATTAACTCGCTCCACTTACCTCAACCTTTTGTGTGTTGAGTGTTGGGATTCAGGTGTGGACTGCTATGCTGACTATGCTGTTGATTAATTGTGGTAAAATATCAGCATGCTTTAATATATTGTTTGGCTAGAAAATTTCATTAAATATTCATTCATTAAAATATTTATGCTTTTCAATTTCTAAATATAGCTAAGTACTTTATTTCTTTAACTTGTCCTGTGATTAGAAAGTTGATGTTAGTTTGTAATATAGTTTGGGTAATAGCACCTCGTATCAGTGGATCTTTCTTTAAGACAAGGTTTAACAATATAACCTAGGCTGGCTTAGAACTCGCTATGTATGTAGTCCTGATTGGCCTTAACTCTCCATTATCTTACCACCACCTTCCCAGTCTTTGGATTATAGGTATATGATACTGTGCCTGGAGTAATATAGTTTGAGGTTTGCTATGGTAATCTCCCCAGCATTGCTCTTTGTGCTCAGGATTGCTTGGATAATGAGGTGAGAAGTATTTTTGATCTCTTGGAAATTATTATTTAAGGGATACTGGTTATCATGTTTCAAATAGTCTTCTAATACACATATCTATTTCAGCCTTATAAGTTCTACAGATACAAATTTCGTTTAGATTTATCATTAGAAAAAAACAGTGTATGTATGAAGCTTTCACTTCCTCTTTCCAGTACCATAGTCTTATAAGGTAATGACCCCTATGGTCTGAAATTCTTTGATAGGCCTTGTAGAGTGTCCTAGCAATATGTATCATGAATAAATAAAATATTTCTGTGTGTGTGTGTGTGTGTGTGTGTGTGTGTTGCTTCTGGGGAGTGAACTCTCAAGGTCTTGTGCTCTCTCTACCACAGAACTACACCCTCAGCCCTAAAGTGATAAGTCAAGGGCCTGAAAGGCATGTCTAAAATGATAGGTTTCCTCTTTTTTTTTTTATCCCAGTAAGAAAACCAGTATTACACTTAGTATTTTTGCTCAGTCAAAAATAAAACCTGCACCTGCACATATATGTCATTAAATATGTTACAGAAAGTTCATCACATTGGAGCCTCACCTGTGAAATGGGGGTGCACAGACATTACTGTTCATATACAGTAGAAGGAAGCAGTGTTCTTAGTGACTTTACAAAGATTATATTCAAGTTCAAAGATTGTGAACTTGAAAAAATCTTTTTAAACTTTATTTTTATTTCTGTGTATGTGTATGCCATGCATCCAAATGCCCTGGGAGGCCAGAGAGGGTGTTGAAATCCTTGGAACTGGAGGCACAGGCAGTTGTGAGCTTACTGAGGTGGGTTCTGTGAACGGAGCCTGGCTCCTCTCTGAGACGAGTAAGTGCTCTTAATGACTGGGCCACTGTTGAGTGACATTGTTTCTGGGTAGTCATGAACAAACATCTACCCACCCCAGATAGAGAGTCAGTTTCAGACCAAAGTGAGTATACCACTATTGTCCCATGAGGTGAACCAGTGAGTTTTATTGGGGTTAGTTACAGGAATATGAGTGAGGGGTTACTTATGAGAGCGGAAGTGATTTGAAAACAGCTGCATCACTAAAAACCCTTCACAGCATGGGTAATAGCTCAGGAAAGCAGGAAGCCTGGAGCACATGGCACAATTGCAGGCAGCCTGTCTCTTCCAGGCAGTCCAGCAGGTCCCCGCCTTGTCTGAGAGCCTTCCAGGTGACTCCACTTGTCTGAGAGTGTGCCTCAGCATTCTTTACTGCATATACATAGATATAGTTGGTTTAGCTTGGAGTAAGAATAAAAAAATTGTGCATTATAGTCACTACCAAAATTAACAGCATTAATTGTAATTGGCTTTCTTAAGGTTTTTCTTCAAATAGTAGTCTATATTGGGGCTAAGTTACTCACATTTGAATTGTTTGATGGTCTTAGGAATAGATCTTAAGTGTCTGTCTTGTTCAGTTTTCTAATTTTATATTATTATAAAAATGATTTTAATGATGTACGTTAAGTGAAGTCTAGTATTTCTGCATGTAATTTTGTTAATAAATTACATAGTATACTATACAGCTTATGAATAAAAAACAGTTTTTAGGGTTATCAGTTCTTATACTGTGAGAAACTGAGCATTTTTAAAAACACTGATTCTTGTGATTGGAGAGATGGCTCAGCAGTTAAGAGCACTGGCTATTCTTGCAGAAAACCTGGGTTCCCAAGCCTTTAATGTCATTCTTAATAGACTTGTAAACTAATATTTCTCAAATTATTATTTTCAAGAATAAACTATAGGGGCTGGAAAGATAGGTTGGAGGTTAAGAGCATGTGCTACTCTGGAAGAGGACCCGAGTTATATTTTCAATATGCACATTAGGTGACTTACAATCACCTGTAACTTTAGCTCTAGATAGGTCTGACACCTTTGGCCTCCAGGGGCACCTGTACTCATGTGCACATACACACAGATACCCCTCACCCGGCATGCATAATTAAAAAATTAAAAAAATTTAAAGTCTTAAAATGCATGCTTCTTAAAACAATAAATTACAGAGAGCTAATGTTTATTATTTTGATTTTCAGATGGTGACCCTGATAATTATATTGCATACTATCGGAGAGCTACTGTCTTCTTAGCTATGGGAAAATCAAAAGCAGCACTACCTGATTTAACTAAAGTAATTGAATTGAAGATGGATTTCACTGCAGTAAGTGTACCTAAACTCGATTAAAGGGAAGCTTAAGAGAACTGAGAAAATGTAATTTGTTTCTTATAGTGAGTAGCAGCACCTTACTGGAGGATATCAAAGCTGACCTGTAATAGACTGGTGAACAAGAGAAATTCAAAATCCTTAGGTGTCCTCATAACAGATGCACACACCTTTGGTTCTAGCCAGTTGACAGGTAGAGGCATGATAATCCTTTGAGTCTGGGATTTTGAGGTCAGCCTGAGTAATATAGCCAGATTCCATCTGCATAACAACAGCAGCAACAACAGAAAACCCAGCCAAGTCCTTGAAATTAAAGGTCTGTATGAAAGAGTAACAAAGGGTATACTAGGTGACCCCCCCCCCCCCAGAAGCTTGATACCTGCTTTGTGGTTTAGAAAGACAAATCTGTGTAAAGGATAGAGTATAGGGCAAGATGTGAGGGAGGCTTGAGAGGCTGTTTACTGACTAACAACAGTTTCAATTAATGCAGCAAGAAGAGTAAAGAGAGGGTGCTCCAATTAAGCAGTGTTTTTTTTTGGTGGATACCATACAGTGTTAGCAAGGTTCTCCCTGGAATTAATGTATGACTTTCAGAGGTACAGAAGCTTATAACCTTATTTCCTGAAGACTGGAAAGTCACTGTAATGGTTATCATAGGTTGTATGGGGACTTATTTGGTGGGAGTATTGGTTTTATCACTGTGACCAAATAGCTGACATACACATCTTAACAGAAAAAGATTTTTTTAGTTTATGGTTTCAGAAATTTTAGTCCACAGTCCTTGGTTCCATTAACTCTGGGCATGTGATGAGATAGAGCATCATGACAGCAGAAACATTTGGAAGAGGAAGTTGCTTACTTAATGATAGACAGGAAGAAGAGAAAACTATAAAAGTGACCAGTCCAAGATATAGGCCCCAAAGATACACCCCTTGTGAACTACTTCCTCCAGCTAGGCTCCACTTCCTAAAGTTTCTACCACTTCGGGGACCAACTATTCAACACATGAGTCTGGGGGAATGTTTTATATTTAGACTGTAACAGTGGAACAGAGGAAACTTTCATTGGCAGACAATATAGAATTATGGACTTGTTAGATGGCTTCAAAATGAATTTGGTGACCATTATTACTTATATCCTGCCATATTCTGAAAAAGGTTGAAATATGTAGTGCAATAGTAATATTTTAAGATAGAATTCTCAACTGCCATATTTTTGTTGAATCTATTTCTTTATACAACTAAGTACAACATTTCACAAAGGTCAAGTAACCCATTTTCCTAGCATTATGATTAAGTATTGGCTAGTTACAATGGCTTAATTTTCCTTTGTATTGATGTACATTTAACAGAGGTTTAGGGAAATTTGTGTACTATTCAAGTAATTTGTAAATTTAAGTGGATATCAATGTGGTTTCTCTTTCTAGAAGACATTGGTCATCAGAGAGTAGGTATGTCTTGAAGAGACAGGATTATGTAATATTAGAAGATGAGGAATAGCAGACATGAAAGGAAAAGAGACACTGTTATTCTGGTTATAGGAAATATTTATATTGATGTGTTAATGAAATCCAAACTGATTACTGGAGCTTTGTTAAAGTCTTACTACAACTTTTAGTGGAAAAAATATGATGTCAATAAGTATTTTTAAAAATTATGATTTAGGGACCGAAATGTAGCTGAGTGGTAGAACCCTTGTGTCTTCTTTTTGAGTGCCTGTACTTGATACCCAGTACCCTCCCCCACCACAATTCATGTGTCGTCAGATTCAGTATTTTAAGGTACTCAGTGGTTCTTAGATATTTTTAGGTTGTATAACATCACTACTATTTAGTTCCAGGACATTCTTATCACTCTCTAAAGAAACCTTGTATCTCAATAAAAAAACAAAAACAAAAACCCTTGTTTACAATTTCTTTGGGTTGAGCAAAACATATTTTTAAGAAAATACACATAAATATTTATTTTTATTTTATGTGTATGTGTAAGTGCACCTGTGTTGTGCAGTGCCCACAGAGGTCAGAAGAGGGCATTGGATCCCTTGGAAATGGAGTTACAGGCAGTTGTTAGCTGCCATGTAGGTGTTGGGAATTAAACCTGGGTCCTCTATAAGAGCAGTCAGTGCTCTTAACCCCTGAACCATCTCTATAGCCTCAAGAAAATATACTTTAATAAAAATGGTACACATTCTTTGGTTACAGGAGTTAGTCTCAGTGTCAAGTCAACCAAGCTTTGGACAAATAAATTTATTATATTATTTAGTTGTATTCATATTTAAAGAAAGTTTAGAAATCCATAGTACTCAAGACAACTCTTTTTCTCCTAGGCAAGATTACAGAGAGGTCACTTATTACTCAAACAAGGAAAACTTGATGAGGCAGAAGATGATTTTAAAAAAGTGGTAAGTACTTGGCTCCAAGAAGATGCTATTGTGAACTTATAGAATCTATATTTTTCTCTGTATTAAGGCACTTAATAGTAATTTCATAGCTAAAAGGGAAAATTTTCTACTATGTATATAAGTATCACAGTTCCTGAATTTATATTTAGTGACTGGCATCAATGAATCACATTAACAACTGGAAGATAAAATGTAAAAATTGATATATAATCCTTATCCAGTTTATAGGACTTTCTCTACTTTGGCTTACATGACAATCTAGAAGTGTCAGCTGCACTGTTCTTCATAGCCTCTAAGTTGGGCTTCCTGAACATTTTCCTGTTATTCCTTTTCATTCTGTAAATTGTTACACAACCCTGGGTATAAGTATATAAAATAGGTATACAATAAATAATTACTGATAAAGAATCACAAAATGTGTTTTAAAGCAATTCTTTGTTATATATGTAATTTTACCATTTATTCAAGAGCAAAGAAAATTTATATATTATGATATGGATGTGCTTGTTTATTTTTACATAAAGAATGAAATCTCAAGGAACTGTTTTCAGATTCTTAGCATCCATGTAAAGGCTGGTGGTGAAAGCTTGTACCTGTAAACTCAGAGCTGAGGTAGTAAAGATAGGCAAAACCCTATGGCCAGCCAGGGTAGCTGAAACAGCCCCAGGTTTAGTAAGAGCCCCAGATCTCAGATTTTTTTAAGATCACCTCAAAAAACAATGTGTAGATTGTGTTTGAGGAAGAAATCCTGATGTCAGTCTCTGACTTCTACATGTACATGTATGGATGGGCATACCTGTCCATACACATCTACACATGTGTATACTACACACACACACACACAAAAAAAATTAGCAATAACATGAAATCATGGGTGATATTTGATACTGTATGATGGAGACTATCCAACATTTTTCAGTTACTAGATATTTTGAGGTAGGGCCTCGTATAGTCCAGGTTGACCTACAACTAGCTATAAATAGCTGTGTAATTGAGGATGACCTTGAACTCTTGATCCTCTTATCTCTATCTCCCAAGTACTAGGATTATAAGTATGTGCCACCATGCCTGCTGATACTTTGGTTTTATAGTCATCATTGCTGACAGTGTCATTATGTATACATAGGTAATACAAAATGGCCAGAAATCTTTTTAAGACCATTTTAGAAATTATTGGAAATTTTGTCCTAACCCCAAGCCAAAATTCATTTAATGATTTTTTTTTAAATGAAACTCAAGTCAGCAACCACAAAAGATTTTAAAATCAAACAATCCAACACAGTACAAAGACAAATTAATTTGATACTGAAGAATGATGGTAGGAAAATGTTCAAAGTCTTTGTTTCCTGTGATTAAACCAGTTTGTTTCTATAAAAGCAGAAAACTGAATGTATAGTAAAAGCACTGTAGTTCATAATGTACAGTAATCTTGAATCTGAGCTGAGGTGTTTCAGGCAGCGTTGCTTGGCACTGTACTGAATGGAATGACAGTATGTGCAGTACGTATATACTGTGTGTTCAGAACCAGGCTGCCAGAAGCACCTAGGATTCACTACATGTTTGATTTTTAATTAATTTTTGGTCATTGCATAGACAGAAACCTTTTACTGTCGTCACATGTTTGCAATCTTTACATTCAGTTACATCACCCCATACAGGATTGGTACTGATAGTTAGGCTCTGAGTGACTTGGGAGGCCCCTCATTTGTTTTGAGAGGAATCATGGAATAGGTTCATGAAAGATAATTTTACAGTCCTCTATTATGGCTGCTTTACGAAGTATAAAGTGCTTTGAATTTGTTGGGAGACTGTTATAGATTATTAAAAAGATGATACACTGAAAGTTATTTGGAGAGAGAAAGCTGATTTCTTTTTCTCCTTATTTCTCCTGCAATTTTGTTAATGTGAATTTGTTTTTGAAGTAGTCAAAAAAGGGATATATAATCCACTGTTCATTGTCTGCCCTTTTCTTCTGGTTTATAGAAATACTCAGTTACTAATAAACCACTGTGAAAATAAATTTAAAATTTCTAGCATTGTCATAACCCTTGTCCCAATACTCAGTTGTCTTTGGATGAATCCAATAAACATTAGACTGAATTATATTGAAACAGAAGCTTGTCTTGTAGACTCAATAAAATTGGCTGCTAGTGTTTGTCTACTTTCCTCTCCTACTTGGAAAGATGTTTGAGAATCACAGTTCTTGAACTGCTATTGAGGAATGCCAGCAGAAGGCTGGTGGTGGGGATGCAGTAGTGCTGAAGTAACCTCTCCCTAGGCAGGCCTTTGTGCAAAGCAGATGCTGTGTCAATGACAGAATATGGGAAAGTTCCTCTGCTTTCAAATATTCAAATATATTACTTAGAATTTTTTTCCAAGTAAAACTTTTAGTCTTTTACAAGTAACAACAATTTAGAATATTTTTTTTTTTTTTTTTGGTTTTTTTGAGACAGGGTCTCCTTTTAGCCCCAGCTGTCCTGGAACTCACTATGTAGACCAGGCTGGCCTTGAACTCACAGAGATCCACCTGCATCTGCTGGGATTAAAGGCGTGTGCCACCATGCCTGGCTTAGAATAATGTTTTTTAAAAAATATTTTATTATTTTTATTTTATATGTATGAGTGTATTGCCTGCATGTAGGTAAGTACACCTGTGTCGTGCAATGCCACAGAAGACAGACGAGACCATCAGATCCCCTGGAACTGGAGTTACGGACAGTTGTTAGCTGCCATGTGGGTGCTGGGATTTGAACCTGGGTGTTCTGCAAGAATAACCAGTGTTCTTAATCACTGAGCCATCTAGAATAAATTTTTAACATAGTTGATCCTTACCAGACATTGGCTGTAACCCTTTGGAAAAGCGAGATCATAAAATGTTGGATTTACCTTGTTTAATGTCTTTTCTACACCTACAGTTTATACTCCTTATCTTTTTTTTTTTTTTCAATGTGTATGAGTGTATTGCCTGCATGTATGTGAGTGCACCCATGTTGTGCAGTGCCATGGAGGGTAGAAGAGGGTGTCAGATTCCCCTGGAACTGGAGTTAAGGACAGTTTGTAGCTGCCATGTGGGTGCTGGGACTCGAACCTGGGTCCTCTGCAAGACCAGTCAGTGCTCTTAACCACTGAGCATCTCTCCAGCTCCATCTCAAACCTTTTTAATTATCTTTATACCCCCATCCCCATTGGCACCCTCCCATAGCCCCCCTACTGGAGCCCATATACTGTCATCCCTTTTAAGGACCACTGTGTCAAGTCAGTGTGCACAGACATTCCCCAGTGCAAGTCTGTCCACTGAGATCTAGTCAGCCTACCTAGAATCCCTTGTTTTAGGACGGTTAGTTCTTCTTCACTTAGCAGGAATCAGTTGCCAATATTTCTTAAGATAAGGTTGGGGCATGCTGGGTTTTTGTTTGCCTGAATTTGCATGGGACTTGTGTGTGCAGACACCATTGCCGTAGAATCATATGAGCAGGTTCCTAGAGGCTAGTAGGACTCTCTTTCCATATGGTCATGCATCTCTTCCCTAGGTCTTACATTCTTTCTACCCCCTCTTCTGCAATGGTCCCTGGGCCTTGGGTGGGTGAAATTTAATAAAGGAGTCCTGGTCCAAGGACCAGTATTCATTTGACTCTTGATCTTTACTCTTTTCCCATTTGTGACTTGATGTTCTTAACCCTCTGCTGCATGAGGGAGCTTCATTAATGAGAACTGAGAGATTCATTAGTGTCCTCTTCTTTACCCCTGTTCTATGTTCCATGAGCCTTAGGTGTAGAGGTTGTATTGTAGATGTGTCACTTAGGCCTGGGCAATTCATAGACAATGTCCATGTGTGACTAGTTGTGGAACTTGGTAATAGTCTCCAACTGGTACAAAATGAACTTCTTTGATGAGTGGTGACTGGGATATTTGTCTGTAAATATAAGAATACATATTTTGCACATAGTAAGACACCACATTAGTCTAGGGATGTAACAGTCTTGGGGTTTTCTCTAAGACCTATGACCACTCCAGCCATGCGTATTTGGTTATGTTTACAGTACCACACTTGAGTTTCTTCTGATATTAAATTCTTGTAGAAATGAGATGCTCAAAAGGCTTTCTACTTTTAGGCTATTCTATGCAGCCATATACCTGCTAATGTGTTTTAAAAACTGCCTTTGCTATTACAGAGATTCTTCTATGAGAATGTACATCTTCACTGAATAATCTTTTACTTTTTAGTTGAAATTTTTACTGAGGTAATAGTAGATGTGTATGGCAAATGTAAGAAATAATACAGAGATCCCTTGTGTTTATTTTTTAACTTTAAAAAAATTTATTGAGAATTTTATACATGCATGTAAGGTGTTTTGATCAAATGCACACCCACTCCCTCCCCTTCCATCCAACTCCAACTCCTCCTATATCTCCCCCTGACTTTTTTTCTGACAACTTCATGTATTCTTTCTTCCTTTATTTTTTTTTAAATGGGGCTTTTTGCTACTCTAATGTCCCCCCCCCTGAAAAAGTAACCCTAAAATCTTTTAGGGATTAGATAAAAGCTCCCAAATAATATTGACATTTTTGGCGTTTGGAATGGAGGCCCAAGGACATTTTGACTCAGCCAAGAAACTGGCTACTTTTCTTAGGGGTCTTTTTACCCTAACTGCCTAGCCAATTCCTGCCTCCTATTCTTATCACAATATCCTCTGAAGAGGTTACCCAAATTGCCAACAGGGAATTGGGACACACACCACTCTGACATCTTCCATGCTGAACAGGGACACAGGGTGAGGCAATTGGGGTGCCCCTTCAGTGGGTCTATCTAAAAGACTCCCAAATTGTATAACTCTTATCTGTAGGGAGAAAAGAAAGTCCTTGACTGGTGAATAGGAGATGTGAAGGAGAAGTGAAGGCAAGAATAGTTAGCATTACAAGTTCTAGACAGGGAACCAGGGAAAGGTCAGAGCAGGGAAAATTTCAAATGTTCATATCAGAGTCCATTGGAGTTTCTTGAT